ATATACAGAAATAGCTAGATATATAGAAATATAGATATTAAAGGATCATTAAAGAAATTTTATGAAAAATGACATGCCAACAAATTTTAAAACTTATATGAAATATACAAATTCCTACAAAATGCAAACTACTGAAGATTACTTAAGAAGAAATAAGTAATTGGTATACCCAACAGCTATTAAGGAAGTTCAATTTGTAATAAAAATCTTTTCCATAGTGAAAACTCCAAGCCTAAATGGTTGCAATGACAAATTCTACCAATATTTAATGAAGAAAAAAAGCCAAATTCTCTATAAGTTCTACATAAAATAGAAGTGAACATTTCTCAATTCATTTTACAAAACCATTTTTACCTTGATACCAAAACTAGGTAAAAAATTTTTTTAAGAAAAAAGACTTCAGAAGAATATGCCTCATGAACATAGATAGAAAAACTGTTAATGGATTTTTAGCAAATTAGAATAATCAATACATAAAAATATTAATATTTCATGACCAAGCATAATTCATCCCTGGATGCAATGTTTGATTGACATAAAAAAAATCAGTCAACGTAAGTCACCAGATGGAGAAACAAAAGAAGAAAAATCACATGATCATGTCAATAGATATTTTAAAAATAACAGAAGAATCAATATTCATCTACAATAAGCAGTCTTAGCAAATCAGATATCAAAGGTGTGGCAAACATACATTGTAAGGTGACTCCCATGATCCTGGCCTCCTGATGTTGACTCTTTTGTTTAATCTCCTTTGAGTGTTACCAGGACCTACCTATAATGAGTTGCTAACCAATAGAATGTGGCAGCTATGGTGAGATGTCACTTCTATAACTATTACATGACTCCATCTTATAGGAACCTCACTCTCACTCAGGTTCTGTCCTTGAAGGAGCAAGCTGTACATTGTGAGTTGTGAAATGCTTAGGGAAAGGATTACACTGCAGGGAGCTGTAAATAGCCTTCAGGTCCCAGGAGTATCATTTAGCTGACAGCCAGCAGACCTCTAGGAATCTCAGCTGTGAAACCAGGCAACAAACTCTGCCAACTAACTAAGTGCATTTTGAAGTGGATTCTTCTCCAGTTGAGTTTCCTGATGGGAATACAGATCCACTCAAACTTTGATTATAGCCTCCTGAAACTCTGAAGCAGGGAACCACACCATCCCTGCCCAGATTCCTGAACTACAGAAATTGAAAGATAAAAAATGATAAATACTTGTTTTAACCTGCTAAATTGGTGGTAATTTGCTACATGACATTAGAGAACTAACACAAACTTTTGTGCTTTGAGTGGTGATTCCAATGTAATAAATTTACAAAAAAAATGCGTAGTGGTTTGGAACCAAGTGGTGGCTTACAGTATGGAGAATGTAAAAAAAAAAAAAAAGAAAGATAAAGACTACATTTTCTTGAAAAGATTACTAGTAGAAATCTAAACTGGTGGTGAAGGCTTGAAAGGAAGTGAGTGACAGGTTATGGGGAAATTTCTCAACCTGACAAAGGGCGTTTATGAAAAAAGTAACAATAACACATCATGGTGAAAGATTATCTATCTCAGATTGAAAATAAGACAACAATATCTGTTTTTACTTTTTGTATTCAATGTGCAAAATAGGTCTTAGACATGACAATAAGGAAAGAAAAATAAATAAATGGCATATAGATAAAAAATACTGAATAAGATCTTACAGATAACATGATTGTCTATGTTGTGATTTGGCTTTGGAGTGCCCCTGGCAAAAGGCTCATGTGGTGAAGGCTTAGTCCCTAGCTGGTGGGTCCATTCATTGAAATGTGAGTGAATCTAAGGACTCTGACATAATCAATGAATTAATCCACTAATGGATTAGTAATTTATTGTCATTATTGGGAGGTGGTGAAAACTAGAAGGAGGAAGATCGCTAGTGGTGTGCCTCTGAAGAGTATATCTTGCCCCTGAGCATTTCTTCTTTGTCTTCTTCCTGGTCACTATGAGTTGAGCTCCAGTCCTACCTGCCATGATGTTCTGTCTCACCACAGGCCCAGTCATAGGGTAACCATGGATTAAAACATCTGAAGCCATAAACCAAAATAAATCCTTGTATTTGAACTCAGAGCCTGGTGCTTACTAGGTAAATTCTCTCACATTTTAACCATGCGTCCTATCCTGCTTTTTTTTTGTTTTAGGTTATCTTTAAGATAAGGTCTCACTTTTATCCATGTAGCTGGGATTATAATGTGTGCCACAATCTTATCTTATTTATTGAGCTAGGATCTTACTAACTTTTTGCCTGGCTGGCCTCAAATCGTGATCTTCCTGATCTCTGCTTCCTGAAAAACTGGAATTATAGCATGTGCCACCATGAGTGGTCCCTCAAATCAACTGTAAATAAAGCATAGACTTCAAAGTAAAATCTACATTACAAAAAATTTCAGAGGAGCACATAAGGGGAAATCATGACTATAGGCTCATCAATGATCTCTTAGATAAGAAATCATAAATATTAAATAGAACTTCATCAAAATGAAATACTTCCATTTGAAGGGCACTATTTACAATATGAAGAGATAAGCCATACAACTGGATCAAATTTTTGCTAACAAACTGTGTGAAAGGACTTGTACCCAAAATAATTCTTACAATTCAGTAATAAAAAGGCAAATAAAAATTGAATCATTAGCAAAGAAGCAACACATTTTATAAAGAAGTATATGGAAAGATACTAATTAGATATTAAAAATATAAATTAAAAGTACAGTGAAATAACCACATTGGCTAGACTGGTTAAAATAATAATAATAATAATTATAATAACCCCTGATATTACCAAATGATGATTAAGATGAAATGCTACTATCTTGCTTATGGAAATGCACAACTGAATAGCTATTTTGGAAAACAATTTGGAAGTTTATTTCAAGGTTAAGCAGTCAGGTGCCATTCTACCTGGAAAACTACTCCCAGGTGTTTAGGCAATAAAAATGACACGTGCTTACATAAACACCAATGCATAATTTATGCCAGCAGTATTCATAGTAGCCCCAAACTGGATACAACCTGAGTGTCTATCAACTGACTGATATACAAACCATGTTATAGCCACACAACTGCATGCTAGCAATAAATGGGAAGGAAGCACTGATTACTGAAACAAAATGAATGAACCTTAGAATCACTACATTAAGTAAAAGGAGTTCAACACAAAAGTGTGATGACATTTACATGACATCTTGGAAAAGGCAAAATATTGGATGAGTAATCAGGGAAGTGGGTGATTGGGCTAGGGGAACTTTTGGGGATGTTGAAAATAATCTGACTTGATTATGGTGATGGCTAAATGACTATATATTTATCAAAGTTCATAGAGGCATACTCTTTAAATGAGTGAATTTTACTTTCATATTTTTGAAAACCTAACTTTGAAAAGTAATATACAAATTAAATTTACTTTTCTATTGCATAATATTTTATAAAATTCCAAACTGCTTAATGTTTACAGTTTCAAGTACTTTTTGGTGAAATAGATAATATTTTTCATCTTTTTAAGAGTTAAATATTTGAAAGGAATTCAGAGACATAGTCAAGAAATCTATAGATTTTATACTCCTAAATATGTAATTCACGGTCTGGCTTCTACTCTTAAAGTCCTACCATGATTTCTAAATAAGATGAGCAATTTACAGAAAAATTCCAGTTGTTTATTTACTCTGGTTAGTGTGAGTGACTCAAGCCAAGGATATGTCTGTATTCCTGGTGTGAGTGGTTAGTAACATCTACTTCATTGAAATATTGAGAAAATTGCATTTGGTTTAAGAGTTTTTGGAGAAGAGTTTCAGTGTTTTGATTTTTTTCCTTCCATATTGTACTTTGAGGTAGAATAATTGTAACTTTCAAATGCATTTTATTGATTGATGCTTCTTACTTTCTACCTAAGTTATCAAATTGTTTCACAAACCACTCACTGTAAAGACCTCCTTCTATTCTTGTATCTCAATCTTTTGCATACTGTGTTATAAAACTCCCATCAATCCCTTCAACTTCACTGAGAAAAACTTCTGTGTGCCTTCTAAAAGCATTCCATTCACTGAATGCCTTTTCAATGGACTTTACCCAGTCTCCTCAACTGCTTATGGACAAAGAAAGATTGAATAATTGTGTTCAAATCCTACCGTCAGAGTTGCATAATTCACAGCTACCTTTACTCTGAAAACTCATTATCTGCATCCCAACACCATGGATTTGTTTCAGTCTCTTCCAAATACATTACTACAACTGTCAGTAGCCTTTCTAGATTTAATTTCCACTTCCATTTGACTTTAAGAGTCAAATTCATGACTCATCCTATCCATTCACTTCATGATTTCTTGACCCACTTACTTCCACAGACTGCTGTCCCTTCATCCTACATCCAATTCACCAACATGCCCTCATGCTGAATCTCCTTTTCCCAGGGAATTTCTTAACTAACAGATCTTGAACCACAAATATCCCTTTTCTGATACTAGCCTCTTTATCATTTATATCTTTTGTTCTGTTATCCTCACAGGATATCTCTTTGCCTTTCATGTTATCTCTTGTATACAAGTACTTCCTATTTCTGGTCAGACCTAATTTCTCTGAATTACACAAACAGCTATTTTAATGAACTTATGAATACTTTAAAATCTTATACTCTCTTAAACCTTCAAGTCCTCAATGCTACTTTCTCATCATGACCATAACTAGTAACTGTTTTCTTAGCTTTGACTCTCATTCTGGAATGATGCCTAAGAGCTATGCAAAAATGATGACAGGGTTTGCGTCAAAGTAGAGCTATCTTGGGCCAATATTGCACTCCTTCTTGGTAATGCTTTTAATTGTCTTTGGCGAAACTATTCTGATTTGGTTATTTCTTTTCCATCATTCTAGTAAATATTACATCAGTGTAACATTAAAATTCAGTTATTATGTAAATTCCATCTAAGTACATTATCCAATGGAAGTATAAATATAAATAAAATTTAATCATTTATACTCACTTAGAAATGGGATTGACACTGGCTTCAATAATTGTTAAACACTTACAGCACTTTATGTTTTCTGGAAATTCTTGTACACCTAAAAGGTAGAAAAATAGTAAAAAAAGTACATGAAAATGTTCTGGGAAACACTATCTAAATTATATTCTAATAGTAAAAATAAACAATTAAAACTATGATTCAATATGTAGTTTAAATACCACTTAGGATACACATTTAAGTATGAGTGATAACAAATATATTACTGTTATATAATAAATACATACTTTTTCTAGTTAAAGTTGAATGTTAAATAATAGTTTATGCTCATAATAGTAGGAAATTGGGTATAAATTTCAGGACACTTGCATTTAGAATAAGATAGATCTTGGTTCTTCACTCACTAAGAAAATAAAAAATAAAAATAAGTTATTTAGTTATAATGCCAATACTCAGGGAGGAGAGAATCAGCAGAGGTAAAGAAAATGGAAGACAAAAATCCTTTGTTTCAGGAATCATTTTATAAGACTGGGAAGAATGGACGTATACATGTGAAAAATACCTAAGGACACAATATAAAACTGATAGATATTCCAAAGCTAATGTAGGCATCTACTCTGCCTATTTAAATATAATGTATATAATTATATGCTATTATATTACTGTGTAATAATTATAATGTAATTATGTAATAATTACATCAGTGCACATACACTCTTAAAATACACTTTTCATGTGTTTATACATGATGTGTGTTAAAACCATGTGTGTATCCAGGAATAAACTTAACAAAGGATGTAAATGACTTCTACAAGGATAACTACGAATCACTGAAGAAAGAGATTGAGGAAGACTATAGAAGATGGAAAGATCTCCCGTGCTCATGGATGGGCAGGATCAACATAGTAAAAATGGCTATACTCCCAAAAGAAACCTACATGTTCAATTCAATTTGAGTCCTTTTCCAAAAATTCAGTGTTATCAGCCTCTTGACTACCACACATTACCTACAGTAGTAGTTCTCAAAACATCCAATAGAATGTGATGAGGTAAGCAGTCTACATGTTCAACACAATTCCCATCAAAATCCTAATGACATTCATCACAGAGATTGAAAAATCTACCTTAAAGTTCATTTGGAAACACAAAAGAGCTTGAATAGCCAAGGCAATACTCAGCAAAAAGAGCAATGCTGGACATATCACAATACTTGACTTCAAACTACAATACAGAATCATAGCAATAAAAACAGCAAGGTACTGGCACAAAAACAGATATGAAGACCAGTGGAATAGAATAAAAGACCCAGATATGAATCCATACACCCTATTTTTGACAAAGGCACCAAAAACATACGATGGAGAAAAGACAGACTCTTCAACAAATGTTGCTGGGAAAAGTGGTTATCTGCCTGCAGAAAAATGAAACTAGATCCATGCCTATCACCCTGTATGAATATCAACTCAAAGTGGATACAGGACCTTAATATCAGACCCAAAACCTTGCAGTTAATACATGAAAGAGCAGGGAATACCCTGGAAGCAATAGGTATCGGCAAGGACTTCCTCAGTAGAACTCCAGCAGCCCAGCAACTAAGAGAAAGGATGAACAAATGGGACTACATGAAATTAAAAAGCTTCTGCATAACAAAAGAAATGGTCTGTAAATTGAAGAGATACCCACAGAGTAGGAAAAAATATTTGCTAGCTATACATCAAAGGACTGATAGCCAGAATATACACGGAGCTCAAAAAACTAAACTCTCCAAAAAAATCAATAAACCAATAAAGAAGTGGGAACTGAACTAAACAGACCTTTTTCAAAGGAAGAGGTCCAAATGGCCAAAAAAAAAAAACCACATAAAAAAGTGCTCACCTTCCCTGGCCATAAAGGAAATGCAAATCAAAAGCCACACTAAGGTTCTACCTCACCCCTGTTAGAATACCTATCATCAAGAACACCACCATCTACAAATGTTGGGAAGGATAAGGGGGAAAAAGGAATCCTCATATACTGCTGGTGAGAATGTAAGCTAATACAACCACTCTGGAAAACAATATGGAGGCTTCTTAAAAAACTAAACATAAATCTGCCATATTAGCAATACCACCTGTAGGGCTACACCAGAAGGAATGCGACTCAGGTCATTACACCCATGTTTATTGCAGCATTATTCACAATAGCTAAGCTATTGAAACAGCGAAGATGCCCCACTAATGATGAATGGATTAAGAAACTGTGGTATTTATACACAATGGAATTTTATTCAGCCATAAAGAAAAATGAAATTTTGTTATTTACAAGCAAAGGGGTGGAAGTGGAGAACATCATCTTATGCAAAGTGAGCCAGGCTCAGAAGGCCAAAAATTACATGTTCTCCCTCATATGTGGATTATAGATCTGAAACAAATGCAGTAATATTATTGGACATAGGTCACACACTAAACGGAGAACAGTTATGGGAGGAATAGGGAAAGGTAAGGAAACCTAAAACTTGAATGTGGTTGATGTGCTCACTGTAGAGGAGTGAATATAGTTATCTTAAACTGGCAGAGACCACTATGGGGAGGGGACCAGGAAGTAGTGAAGAGGTCTTGTAGAGATGAACTGATGTGGGTTGCAATACAGATGTGCATGGAAGCAATGCTAGGAATCTCTCTGTATAGCTATCTTTATCACAAACTAGCAAAAATGCTGTCTTTCTTATTATCTCTTATGTTTTTTCTTCAACAAAATTGGAGAACAAGAAGGCAAAATAGGTTCTGCCCAGAAGCAGGGTGGGGGGAAGGTGGCCCAAACAATGTATACACATATGAGTAAATGTAAAAACAAAAAAAAAGTGTGTGTGTGTGTGTGTGTGTGTGTGTGTGTATGTTTGTTAAAAGTATGTCATTATAGTGTTAAAAGTGTGTCAAATTTTTAAGGCTTCTATGTTTTGAGACGTACATCTCTAAAGGAAATGAAGTTACTATCTTGAAGAAACATTTTCATTCCCACATTCATAGCATTAATCACAATGGCCAAGATGTTGAAACAACAAAGATGTCCATTGGATGAATGGATAAAGAAATGTGATATTGATATATAGACTATGAAAGTTTCATAGACAATTAAACTTTATTTGACTTTAAAAAGGAAGGAAATCCTGCCACTTTCCACACCATGGATGGACTTGGAGGGCAATATTCTAAGTGAAATAACTCAAACACAGAAAGACAATTATTACATTATATGATATACATAAGAAATCTTGAAAACTGAACTCATGTAAACAAAAAATAGAATGATGGTTACCAGGCACTATGGGGTGGGAGTTGTAGAGACGAATAAGTTTTGAATACCACAATGTACCCCCATCCAGCACAACAATTAAAAGAAAATAAAATAATTGCCAGAAAAGATGAATAAGTTCTGTATATTTACTGTATATTATGTGACTATAGTTAGATTGTATTATATACTTAAAAATCAGATTTTTATGAGTATATATTAGTTGTACAAAGGGCTTTCATTATGATGTCCATACATGCATATAATATTCTTTGATCATATTCACCCCCTCTTTTTTATCCTCTATTTCCCCTTTTTATTTTCCAATTTTTAATTATTTCATTATTCTAACAAATACAATATTTAAAATAAAAAAGCAAGTTAAAAAGTGTGAACTTTATGCTCTGGTTAAAGAAAGCCAACTGGCAAGTCTAAAAGAATGACACTGCCAAAATTCTTTAAAAATACTTCTCACTGGGATATATCAGATTTTTCACTAAAATATAGACAAAAAAATCCACTTAAAACCATGCTATTGCAAAAATGTTTTGGGCAATAAATATTGACTGGTTGCAAAGAGGTCAGAATTTGCTGAGCATGGTCTAAATATTTGTGTATCTTTCAAATTCATATGTTGATATCCTAATCCCCAAGGTGATAGTATTTGGAGATGAATAGGTCATATGACACCCTTGTGGTAAGGATTAGTGTCTTTAGATGACCAGAGGGCAATGAGTATGAGGAATGGGCCCTCACCAGGAATCTGCAAGCAACTTGACCTTGTTTATATGCCACAGTTTGTAGTATTTTGTTATAATCCTCCAGAGCACATTAACAACAAGAAAAACCCCTCCTACATATTCTGTAAAATCTGAAAAATTTCAAGTAAATGAATGGCTATTATTTGCCAAGCTTCCTGGTGCCAATCCTGCCTATTTGTGAGACTTCAAAGAAGACTTCAAAGGAGAATCAAACTGTGGTGAAAGCTGGGAGCCTGGCCAAATGAATGACAAACCTTGAGAACATAGGTAGAATTTGAAGAAGTTGCCTTTTCCTTTGTTAACAGTTGGGTTAAAGGGTATTTAAAAAGAAAAGCACACAGGCAACCTGCTAAGGATACTAGAAAGAAAAAGCCAACAAATATTTAAATGTTACTAAGCTGCTTAGTGATTAGAAGTAATAAAATCTTATATTTAAAAAAAAGTATTTTCAAATGTTTATGTTCTCAGTATTTTTGTTTTGCATGCACTAGTTTTCACAGAGCTTCTGAAGGATATTTATCACAAAAAGAAAGAAACATGGTATCCAGGACCGAGATATAAAGGGAATTACCAGAATGATGGTGATAATATCACAAGGCAACAGCTCTCAGCAGGCCTGGAAAGCTTAGCAGTCTAGGTTGGATAAAGTAAGAAAATGCCTACAGAATTTCCCCAAGAAGATGTAATGGACAGAACAACTAATGTGTTTAAATATATCAGCAGGAAATTTGACAATCTATGGAAATTCCTGGCTTCAAAGTAATAAACCATTTCGAATGATGCTGACAGGTCAAGTAAAAGGAAAGCTATGAATTGTCATTTGATTTAGTAAGGAGAAGGTCACTGTGACCTTGACTAGCATTGGTATTGGAGGAGTAAAGAATGGAGGAGATTATGAAAAGATGGAGGAAGAAGTGTAGATAAAGAAAGCACAAAATTCTATTTAAAGATTTTGCTACAATGTAGTGGGAGACTATCAGGGGAAAAGGAGAGAAGATTTTTTTTAAGCATGGAAGAAATAGCAACATATATGTATGCCGATTAGAATAATCAATCAGAGAGAAAAATC